TCTGACAGCATGACCAAAGTAAGTGAGACAACATCTGGCCATTCTCGCTTCCAAGGAACATTCAGCTGCACTTTTTCTAGGACAGATTTGTTTGTTCTGGCACACTGTGGCATTTTCAGTATTCTTCGTGAACACCACAATTCAAATCAACTCTTCAGTCTTCCTTATTCATAGTCCAGCTTTCACATGAATATGAAGCAATTGAAAATATCAAGGCTTGGGACTGTCATTTCAAAGTGACATCTTAACACTTTCAAGAGGCCTTTTGCAGCAGATATACCCAGTGCAGTACAACGTCTGATTTCTTGACTGCTGCTTCCATGAATGTTGACTGTGGATTCAAGTAAAATGAAATCCTGAACAACTTCAGTCTTTACTAAATATCGTGATGTTGCTAATTGGTCCAGTTGTGAGGATTTTTGTTTTCTTTATGTTGAGATGTAATCCACATTGAAGACTGTAGTCTTTCATTAGTAAATGCTTCAAGTCATCTTCACTTTCAGCAAGCAGGCAAGGTTGTGTCATCTGCATAGCACAATTAGTTAACTACTTGGGTTTTTCCTCCACTCCTGATGCCACATTCTTCACATAGTCCAGCTTCTCAAAGTTATTTGCTCAGCATAACAGATTGAACAAGTAAAGTGAGAGTATACAACCCTGACATACACCCTTCCTCATTTTAAACCATGTAGTATACCTTTATTCTGTTTGAATGACAGCCTCTTGGTCTATGTAGAGAATCCTTATAAGCACAAATAAGCATTGTGGAATTCGATTCATTGTAGCATTATCTATAATTTGGTCCACATAGTCAAATGCCTTTGCATAGTCAATAAAACACTGGTAGACATCTTGTATCCTTATTTTTCAGCTAAGATCCATCTGATGTGAGCAATGATATCCTTCATTCATATCCATTTTGAATCCAGCTTGCATTTCTGGGAGTTCCTTGTTACTATACTACAACCATTACTGATTTATCTTCAGCAAGATTTTATTTGCGTGTGATGTTAATGATACTGTTAGATAACTTCCACATTCTGTTGGATCACCTTTCTTTAGACCAGGCACAAATAACAATGTCTTCCAGTTTGTTAGCCATGTAGCTGTCTTCCAGATTTCTTTGCATAGATGAGGAAGTTCCTCCAGCACTATACTTGTTTGTTGAAACATCTCAGTGGGTATTCTGTCAATTCCTTGAGCCTTGTTTTTTTGCCAGTTCTTTCAGTGCAGCTTGGACTTCTCCCTTCAGTTCCATTGGTTCTTGATCATACACTACCTCCTGAAATAGTAGGACACTGGCCAATTCTTTTTGATACAGTGTTTCTGTATTACTTCCGTTTTCTTTTGATGCTTCCTGGATCATTTCAATATTTTGCCCATAGAATCCTTCAATATTGCAAGTCAAAGCTTGACTTTTTCCTTCAGTCCTTTCAGCTTGAGAAATGATGACATGTTCTTCCCTTTTGGTTTTCTAACTCCAGGTCTACATTTCATTATACTACTTTGTCTTCTCAAGCTGCCCTTGGAAATCTTCTGTTCAGTTCTTTTATTTCAGCATTTCTTCCATTCATTTTAGCTACGCTGCATTCAAGAACAAGTTTCACAGTCTCTTCTGACACCCATCTTGGTCTTGTCTTCCTTTCCTGTCTTTTTAATGACCTTTTGCTTTGTTCATGTATGATCTTAATGTCATCCCACAACTCATCTGGTCTTCAGTCATTGGTGTTCAGTGTGTTAAATCTGTTCTTCAGATGATCTTTAAATTCAGGTGGGATATAATCAAGGTAGTATTTTGGCTTGCATGGATTTACTTTAATTTTCTTTAGCTTCAACTTGGACTTGCATATGAGCAATTGATAGTCTTTTCCACAGTCAGCTCCTGGCCTTGTTTGGACTGATGATACTGAGCTTCTCCATCACCTCTTTCCAGAGATGTAGTCAGTCTTATTTCTGTGTATTCCATTTGGCAAGGTCCACATATATAACCACTGTTTGTTTATGTTGTTGAAAAGTATTTGCAATGAATAAGTTGTTGGTCTTGAAGAATTTTATCATGCAATATCTGGCATCATTTCTATCATCAGGGCCATACTTTGCAACTACCAGTGCACCTTTTTTTATTTTTTAAACTTTTGTACTCCAGTCACCAGTAATAATCAGTACATCTTGATTGTATGTTTGGTTGATTTCAGAGTGCAGAAGTTGATAAAAAATCTTCAGTTTCTTCATCTTTGGCTTTAATAGTTGGTGCATAAATTTGAATAGTAGTAGTATTAAAGGTCTTCCTTGTAGGAGTATGGATATTATACCATCACTGATAGTATTGTACGTCAGGATAGATCTTGAAATGTTCTTTCTGACAATGCAATACTTAAAAAAAAAAAAAAAAAACCTCACTGCCATCAAATTGATTTGACTTATAGCGACCCTTCCTTGGGTTTTTGATGCGGTAGCACTATGGAAGAAGATTGCCCAATTGTGTTCCTCTTCAATTTGTCATTCCCATTATAGTAGATCACTTCATTGTCTGATTACAAATGGCCAATACCAGTCCGTTTCAGCTTACTCATGCCTACAATATTGATCTTTAAGCATTCCATTTCACTTTTGACAACTTCGAATTTTCTTACATTCATACTTTGTACATTCCTTGTTCTGATTATTAGTGAATGTTTGCAGCATTATATCCCATCAGGTCCCAAAGGCTTTACTCTGTCCACATCATTAAGATCACCTCTACTTTGGGAAGACAACTGTTCTCCAGTCCTATTTTGAGTGCCTTCCAACCTGAGTGGCTCATCTTCAACACTGTTTCAGACAGTGTTTCACCTCTATTCATGAAGTTTTCCAGCAATATATCAAACAGTGTTTCACTGCTATTCATAAGGTTTTCAGTGTCCAATTCATAAAATTTATCAAAAGTGGATGGCTGTGTCCTTCTTCCCAGTCTTATCTTCATCTGGAAGCTTTGCTGAAACCTGTCCACCTGTCCATGGGTGACCTTGCTGGTATTTGATATACCAGTAGCATGGCTGGTAGCCTCACAACAACATGCAAGCACCACAGTGCAACAAAGTGACAGGCAAGTAACAGGTGACACTAGTACATATATGCATATCCATATTCATTGCCCATTATTAGCAATAGCAAAATAGGTGGAAGCAATCTAAGTGTCCATACATACCTGAGTGGATAACCAAACTATGGTACATAGTATGTATGTAATGGAATACTATACAACGTTAAAGAATAATGCATGTGCAAAATAACTCATAGTGTGGATTAACCTAGAGGACATTATGTTGAGTGAAATAATTTAGTCATAAAAGGACAGATATTGTATGAGACCACTTTTACAGAAAATGAAGAAAAGGTTTATACACAGAAACATTCTTTGATGGTCATTAATACATATTAACTCGGGTGAAGAGAAATGAGTATACAATAAAGAGGACAGCACAATATGACCAAAGCAAAGGAAGACACAGAGTTGCACTAGAGTAAAATGATAAAGGTAAATACTGTTACGTACACAATCCTATATTAACAGTTGTAACAGTAATCTATGAGTAGATACATAGATACACAAGCTGAACAGATATGGAAAGGCAAATGATTGTATACCCATGAGAAAGAGAGAGAAAGTGTGTGTGTGTGTGTGTGTAGTAGTGGATATTTTCTACATATGTCTTTGTATGTGCTGCAAATATATGTATGGATGTAGTAGAGCATATAAGGGGCAAACTGCTGAAAAGTTCTTAGCTATAACCAAACATCTTGAGGGAATGAGTCACTGGGCTTGGGGGCTTAGGACCACAGTCTCAGGGGATGTCTGTGTCAGTTGGCATAACATAGTCCACAGGGACAGTGTATATCCTATTTTGGTGAGTAGTGACTAAAGTCTTAAAACCTTGCAAGTAGCCATCTAAGATGCAACTATTGGTCTCTCGCTGTCCGGAGCAAAGAAGAGTGAAGAAAATAAAGGTTCAAGGGAAGAATTAGCCCAAAAAACTATGGACCACTTGGATCCCAGTCTCCATAACCCTGAGACCAGAAACTAGATTGTGCTTGGCTAGCACTACTGATGCTGTGTTTGGGATCACAGAAGGTCCTGGACTGAGTAGGAGTGGGGGGAAATGTAGAACAAAATTCAAAATGATAAAAATATACCAGACTTGATGGTCTAATAGAGACTGGCAAATCCCCTGCGACTGTGGCTCTAACCCTGGAACTGAATCCACACCTTGGGATCAATTTTCAGCTAAACAATAGGTCTATAAAGTGGATGATAACAGCAGGAGGAACATACTCCTCAGAACAATCACTATGATACCAAAATCATAACACTTGCCCTAAAACAAGCCCAGGAAACTGGAAAAAAGTATGAATGGTAAGGCGGGATCCAGGAAGGAAATGGGGAAGAATACTGTTAACATTGTGTGGGTAACTAATGTTATGAAAACACAATGTGTATGAATTGTTGAATGGAATGCTAATTTGCTTTATAAACTTTTCACTCAAACTACAATAAAACATTAATAGGGATTGAAAATATGCAGACAATGCTTAGCACTTAATTGCTCAATAAGCAGTATTTGTAATTAGCAGTTTTATTCTTCCTCCAACTATTCCATTCTCTTCCCCAGTTTTCTTTCACTGCTTTAGATTATAAATAACAAGGCTGTTAATGTGTCTCACTTTGCTGTGATGGTGTAGAAGATCACTATCTTCTAAGATAGGTGTGGGCATAGATCAGAACCTGCCTCACACAGTACAGCCAAGGATGATGAATGGTTTTCATGCAGCCTCAGTATGAGGCACAGGTGGCACCACAGGGCTCCTTGCCCTGTCCCCACAGATAGAAGAGGAGACCCGTGGTAAAGGGAAATAGTAAGTGATCTTAGGTGTCCCATCTTCTTGCTTACATCCTGGCAAATACCACTAAAATAAGCATCTTGTATCAGTGGAACAATACTGAATTATTTTATTTGTTGCAGCTGTTCTAGAGAAATCTCAATGGCAGTTCTGCTGAAATTTGTTTCTGAAGGAGACAATATCCCAGATGCATTAGGTCTTGTTGAGTATCTTAATGAATGGCTTCAGATCATCAAACCACATGTAAGTTTTTTTTAAACATTGTTTAAATCTCTGATTTGATGATGTGTTCTTCAACTTGCATGTTTTATCCTATGGAAGTTGACCAAATAAATGAAGTTAAATAAAAACATATCTTTACATAAATTTAGTTTAAGCTAAACTTTTTAAAAGAAAAAGGAGACAGTTGACCAGTCTTTTACTTACTATTGTTTTATTAAGGTGAATAGTACTTGCAAAAATGGAAAATCTGAAATTCTTCATTGTTTGTGCTCCATTAGTTATATCAGACAGATTCTTCTAAAATAAGTCGTTTTTGGAGTTCATGTTTGTTTGTTTGTTTTAAAGGAAGCACATAGTATTTCTTATATGACCAGTGTTATAGCTATTCAGTATAAATTATGGTTAAGATTACTTTTCTACTACACATGGATAGCAGCATCCATACCTGGGAAATCAGCCTTTAGCCTTTAAGCATAAAAGAAGTAACCTAGTGCTGTTGTGTGTGGTAGGTAACTGACTTGTTAATAGGTGCTTTTGTGGCAAGTAAATTGATACAAGCCATACAACATAGTGGCTTGTTTTTGTTTTCTAAACCTCTACTTTTTAATTTGATGTTACTTAGTAGACTCCATGTGGAACCCTTCTGGTATATTTGTGATTTGGAATTGAAGAAATCTATCTTCAGTTGTCAGGAAGACATAAAAATTTATTAGTTTGTTTTTTCTTACCAATAAAACCTGGCTGAAAGTGCCAGGATCAGCTAGAGAAGGAAGAGTTTTATAATTCTTACGTGTTAAAAGGAGACTTAATGCTAAAATTTAAAGATTAAAGTACTTTATTTTTAAATTACAGATTGATGGTCCCACAGCATCTGCCTTGCCATGGAAAATACCAAGTTCTTGGAGATTACTCTTTGGCAGTGGTCTTCCTCCTGCACTTTTCTGATCTGGTTTCAGTTTTATACCATGTCTCAAGATACTTACCACCAGTAAAACTGTTAAACATCCTATACAAAAATTTGTACTAATCATGTATTAAGAAATAGTTATTTTTATAGAAAATCTCTAAAAAAGGATTAATAAAAGGTCATTTTTTCCATACCTTTCATCATATAAAACAAATGTAGATTTTGTATAATGTTCAAGTAATTTTGTCTAAAATGTACCCTTTTTTTTTTTTTTTTTAATTCAGAATCTATTAGTTTTCTGTGGCTTCTGTTACAACACACACTCTGGCTTAAAACAACTCAAATATGCTCTAGTTCTGAGGTCAGATGTCCAAACTCAGTCTCACTAGGCTAATAATGTCAAGGTTTCAGGCAGGGCTGGTTTTTTCTGCAGAGAATAAGTTATCTAGGAGAGAATATGATTCCTTCCAGTTTTCCTAGATTCATACTTTGTTCCATGCTCCAGTTATTAATTACTGTTTGCAGCTGTTTTTTCCCATTTTGAATCATGCCCCATCAGCAAATGAAGGTCCCAAAAGCTTTACTCCATCCACATCATTTAAGGTTGAGTCCTTTGGGGAAACGGTTCTTCCCCAGTTGTATTTTCAGTGCCTTCTGACCTGACGGGCTTATCTTCTGACACTGTATCACAGTGTTTAATGGCTATTCATAAAGTTTTCCAGTATTACATCAGACAGTGTTTCGCTGCTGTTGATAAGGTTTTCACTGGTAAATTCTTTGCGAAGTGGATGGCCCCATCCTTCTTCCCAGTCTTAGTCTGGAAGGTCTGTTGAAACCTGTCCACCATGGATGACCCTGCTTGTATTTGAAATACTAGTGGCATAGCCTCCAGCCTCACAGTAACACATAAGCCACCACAGTACGACATACTGACAGATAAGTGAGGGCTTTTACTATTGTTGCTATGTGCTGTTGAGTCAGACCCAACTCATAGTGACCACTCCTTGGGTTTCCGAGGCAGTATCACTATGGAAGTAGATTGCCCCATCTTCCTTCCGAGAAGTGGCTGGTGGGTTTGAATCGCCAGCCTTCTGGTTAGCAGTCAAGTGCCTTAGGCACCACGCTACCAGAGCTCCCAACTACAGGCATAAAGGGATACAATTCAATCCATAACAAGGGGCTTCCTCTTTTTCATTGACCTCTACCAATCATGATACCTCTGTAGGGACTAGTTAGTCTGTCCTGAAACATGTCCATCATGAGTAAGACAGAGATTCACTGTTCTTCATCTGGTATGTTCATCTGTAATAGCCCAATGAAAATTACCAATGAGCAGAGCATATTGTTCATATTAGGTACTCTACATGCATGTACTTTTTAAATACTTGTCATTAAGGGAGCAGAAACCAGCACAGATAAATGGCACGTGAGAGGGGAAATGATACAAAATTAAGGCTAAGGAGCAGAGGCAGAATTGGGTGAAAGGAAGCTTTGTAGCTGGGTGGTACCAGGGGAGCAGACCAGCTGAAATGGGTGAGCAGGACTGAATACCTACATAGGGTCTTTTTTTAGGTTTCTACTTCTAAGCAGGTACATTAGCTCATCTGTCTCCTGGCCAGCTGTGGTGGTTATATTTGTGTGTCAACTTGGCTGGGCCTGGTTGAGTGGCTGGGCAGCTGGTAGTAGTTATACCCCCTGATGGGACTGGTAATCAACTTCATGCTGGGATCTACCACAAGCAGCTGAGTAGCTGCCTTAGGGAATGTGGTCTACTTCCTGTATATAAGCAGAAGCCTTGGGGAACAGTCTGTAGCTTATGACACGCTTGGACCCTGCATGTAGCTGTGTCGTCGTTCAGCAGTCTGCCGTGCTCTGCTGACCTTGGGACTTAAAATGAACTTGATTTAATGGCCTGCTGTGTGATTTGGTAACATCGGGACTGTGCCTTTTTACTTGTCAATACTGTGCTTGGCAGCCTCAGCAGACAGCAGCTGTCTGAGTGAAGAAAAGCCTCTAGCTTCAGTGGGCCGGGAGCTGGAGGCAGAGCCGAAGCCCAAGGTTGAGGGGCTTTCACCCAGCCCCTAGACCCTGGCACTTTGAACTTGGACTTAAAGTCTCTAAATTGTAAGAGAATAAACTCCTGATGGTTAAGGCCATCCCATTTATGGTATATCCTTGTGAGAGTGGCACTAGGTAACCAGAACACCAGCCATCTGGCTGTGCTAAAAAATTTTGGTAGAAGTTTTATTTTCCCATTTCCAAATGTTAGCTGCCCTTGACAAAGAGTTTCATTAATTCTCAGATTTAAAAAAAAAAAAAATCAAATATTTATTTAAAGTCTGGTTTTGGCACTGATATCTCCAAATTTCCCAGGCCTGGGTAAACTTGCATGTGAGTTTGTTGTTGTGTTGTTATGTCTGTCAAGTTGGACCTGACTCATAGCAACCCCTCCTTGGGTTTCTAAGGTGATACCACTACAGAAGTAGATTGCCCAACCTTCCTTCTAAGGAGTGGCTGGTGGGTTTGAACCGTCAGCCTTCTGGTTAGTAGTCAAGTGCTTTAGGCACTATGCTACTAGAGCTTTAGGAGGTGAGAAATAAGAGTTTGAGTGTGTGGAGATGGTGCTGTTAGGAGGAATTGGGGCACTGGAGATGCCCCAATACAAACCTGCTCCCACCTGGGCCACCTTGTCATTCAAGACAGCCAGGCCAGTACCAGTTGCATCCCACTTGCCTGTCTGTTGGCATGAGTCCCAATTCAGGACATCTAAGGGTTAGTGCACAATGCATCACCTAGAGGCCTTATCCCCCTGGGGCCCAGCGAAGCAAGTAGCTTGCTGACAGTCCAGCTGGGCCATGCAGAACTACCCAGTGTCCTTGTCCTGCTTATTAGAAATGGATCCTGAGGGTGTAAAAATATAGACGATTAGAATTTCAGGGAGATGATAACCTGAGTTCCATATTAATCTTGTTCAATTTAAACATTGCCTTACTCTGCTACTTATAGCCATAATCATATAAGAATCCTGTCCCTGCAACCACATTCCTCAGATCCTAAAACCAAGACAGGAACAGTTTGCTAGACATGGCAATTGCAGTCCTTAGATCATAGAGACTAAAAGCAAGAGACACTGCAAAAGAAATAATGCAAATATAAATTTACTGCTTAAATGACCTTTCCTAATAACAGGCCATTCTCGAGATGTCTTCCAGCTCACTGTCTGTGGCCAGCGTTAACCAGTTTTGGAGTCTGTGCACCTCTTCCCCCTTCTTTGCCACCTGATGAACTAAGATGGCCAATCCAAGATGAAACCAAGACTTGAACCAAGGGCAAACAGCAGACTGCATAGCCTGAAAGAAGCTGAGGAATTTATCACAACCTTGTTCTGTTTCCTGACCTTCACAAAATGGTCAGGGTTTTATAAATACCTGCCTACACAAGGTCTATTGAAATAAAACCACGGCCTTAAAAAAAACTACTATAAAAATCCCTAGCCTCTAAGTCTCAGGGAGACACACATGGCATTGCTTCTGTACCCATGTGTCTCCACCTTGCATGGTGTGGTGATTAAGTTTGTGTGTCAGCTTGGCTGGGCCTGGTTGAATGGCTGGGCAGCTGGTGGTGGTAGTCCCCATGATGAGACTGGTAATCAAGTCCATGGTGGAATCTACCACAAGCAGCCTTAGGGATGTGGTCTGCTTCCTGTATGTAAGGAAAAGCTTTGGGGAACAGTCTCTAGCTTATGGCATGCTTGAACCCTGCAAGTAGCCATGTCGTCGTTTAGCAGCCTGCCATGCTCTGCTGACCTTGGACTTAAATTAATGGACTGCCATGTGGTTTAGTAACATCGGGACTCTGCCTTTTTACTTGTCAACCTTGGGCTTGTCATTCTCAGCAGCCAGCAGCTGAGTGAAGAAAAGCCTCTAGCTCCAGTGGGCCAGGAACAGGAGGCAGAACTGAACCCCAAGGCTGAGGGGCATTTACCGAGCCCCTAGAGCCTGGCATTTGGAACTCAGACTTAAACCCTCCAAATTTTAAGAATAAACTCCTGTTTGTTAAGGCCATCTCATTTGTGGTAGATTTCCTATCACAGCAGCACTAGGTAACCAGAACACAAGTTTACTATCTGCTTATTATTTCTGAGCTTCAGCTGACTTTCTAGTCATTATTTCAGAACCCAGTCTGCAACGAGGGCATACTATGCAGGATATATAAGTACCCACTGTCTAGTAAATGAGCACAGACAGGAGGTTAAAAAGAATAGAAAACGGTTTCTTAGGTGTCATGGCAAGTAAAAGCTTAGTTACCTGAGAATCAACTAACTAGATCCTTAATTTAGTCAGAACAGAAAATCTGACTACACTTAGGAAAAAGACAAAAGAAACTGGTATCAGAGATTTAGTTTAAAAAAAAACTTCCAAGATCTATAGTGAAGTTTTCATAGAAATAGCTTCAAATCTTCAACATTTTACTAAGTTTTCTCTGAAGAGTACTATACACTGATATTCCCTCACAGAACACTGAATTCTTTTTTTAAAAAATTACCTGAATGTGTGTGTGTATATGTATATATACTTAGGAATACTTTCAGAAATTAGAAATTCTTCTCATTAGGAATAAGAATGTTATCCAGAGTAGCTTATTCATGGAGTAGTTCATGTATTTGACCTTTTACATACTTATCCAA